TTTCCATTTTTTTTTAATTTGTGGATGATATTTCCTTGGATCTGTGCATTACATAAACCACTTTTAAACCAATGATTCCGGAAGTAATATAAAGCTCTCTATAAATTTACAAAGCTCTATATAAAATGTTGCGAATTATATCTCAAGATCTTCGGTGCCATTAAAACTATATTAAGGTCATTAAAAAATTGGGCCTGAGAACCCTAAATTTTGGGGTACTTTCACATCCACTTTGAATCACAGAGTGAAATTATAAGAAAATTTGTGGCAAGTTCGAAAAAAGTGCTTGTCTAAAATAAATACAATTTTTTTTTTATTCAAAGACTTGAAATGAAATTTTCGCAAGAAATGAAATGCTAAGATAGATTTTGATTAGCAGTCAAAAACGAGTATATGAGTATAACTAGCTCTCATAATATACAAATTTTGAATAAACTATTAAATGTAGGAATGGGGTTTAATCAGGTATTTATTTTGAAATTTTGTGTAGAATATATCTTCTTCAAAACTATTTCTGTCCAAAATGTTGGTATAGACCACGCTAAAAAAACGAATAAAAATATGAAGCTAAAATTTTGCACATTACGCAATCAGTCCCGAAGTTACAACCTAATCATTTGAAACATAATGTTTCATTTTCTTTGTGACTAGAATAACCACTCTAGATAAGACATGTCGCGATGCCCTTGTTTTTTTGGTCCGAAAAAAACTTCTAACTATATTTGTTTTTTTATACCCATTTTATACACCATAGTATGGAGGGTATATTAAATTTGTCATTTGGTTGTAACACCCCGAAATATACATTTTAGACCCCACAAAGTATATATATTCTTGATCAGCATAAAATTCTATGTCGATTTAGCAATGTCCGCCCGTCTGTGGAAATCACTCTAGATTCCGAACGAGATGAAGTAGGTTGATAAAATTTTACTCATTATGTCAAATGTGTATGCAGGACTTTTGGTATTGAAATGGGCCATGTAGGTCCACGTCTTCGTATAGCCCCCATATAACGGTACCAAACGATATTCGGTATTTTGACGATTTTAGCGACTTTATTTACCAGAATTGTTTCCAATTTGGTATTTGAAGTTCATAATGAATACTACAGCCTATGACAGAAAATTGTCTGGGCAGGTCCTCGTCTTCGTATAGCCCCCATATAACGGTACCTCCAGATATTCAGTAATTTGATGATTTTATCGACATTATTTACCGGAATTGTTGCACATTTCGCATTTAAAGTTCGTTATGGATATTACAGCTTATGATAGATAATTGTCTGTGCGGGTCCACGTCTTCGTATAACCCCCATATAACGAAACACCAATATTCGGTATTTTTATGATTTTAGCGACTTCATTTAACGGAATTATTTTACATTTTGTATTTGAAGTTCGTAATGGATACTACAGCCTATAACAGAAAATTGTCTGTGCAGGTCCACGTCTTCGAACAGGCCCCATATAATGGTACCCCTCGATATTCGGTATTTTGATGATTTTAGCGACATTATTTACCGGAATTGTTTCAAATTTGGTATTTGAAGTTCGTAATGAATACTACAGCCTATAACGCAAAATTGTCTGTATTGTAATAGCCTATGACAAAAGTTGCCTATATAGGTCTACGTCGTCGTATAGACCCTAATATACGACTACATTCGGTATTTTCGAGTTTTAAAAATTCTGTTAAAATCTTAAAATTTAAAAAAAAATTATTTTTTTGAAAGTTGTCCAATTTATACCAAATGGTGGAGGAGTTCGGCCCGGCCGAACTTACAGCTTTTCCACTTGTTTTTTAGTAAAAAAGATTTTGTCTAGCATGTAAAGTTACAATAGAATTTAAAAGCAATACTATCTTTGAGAATGATGCCTCGTCATCACATCTCGTCCTTGGATCCACTGTAAAGAATATTGATATAAGCCATCAAATTACAATTATAAAATATTGAGCTATGAAACCTTTAATTGTTTGTAATATGCAACAGAATTCCTTCAAAACATAAACCGAAAAAATAAAAATTCAAATATAAAAGTTTGCAAAAAGTTGTTTTTAAATCGTTTTTATTGATTTTTTTTTTCTCAAAATATTTTTTGTCCTTGTTGCTCTTGTAAATAAACTTACAACTTAAAACAATAATAATGAAATGGGTTGTATTTTTTTTTAAATTAACTTATAAGTAATGACAAAAAATTAAAAGAGATTATGGTTAATTTTCATTTTAAAATATATATTTTTGTAATTCTTTTAATGAAAATCAAATGCTTTTTCCAAAAGTAAATACAAATATTGTAGAATTAAATTTTGGCAAATATTAAAAAATAAAATTTATAAATAAAATAAAACAGAAAAAACAATATGACTAAAACATTGAATAGGCATAAGGTGACATTTGTTTAATAAATGTCACCCAGTTTGGGGTGTTAAATGCTTCACTTAAACTACAAATTTTGCTGAAAATATATGAGAAAAAGTAGAAATATGTATTGAAAGTAATAAAAATACGAAAATAGATGTTAAATTATAAAAAAATATATGTATTAATTTTATTGTTGGTTATATTTAAAGATTATTACTAAAACAAAATCATTGGCACAAGTTGCAGTCTAAACTTAAATAAAAAAATAAAAATATTAAAAAAAAAAATAGTGACAAACAAATGAAACAAAACAAAGATATGCATAAACTATATACAAAAATATATTTAATATTGGAAAATGTAGGTTTTGTTTTATTTTAAATATCAAACAAATTAGTAAATGAAATATTATTTAGTGGCTCACAGAAATCTTGGTAAAAGAATTTGAAATAAAAAAATAGAAATTTAGTTACTTGGAATATTATGAAAATTTACCAAGATTTTTGTGGCACACTGTAAAAATATATATTTTTATTGTTTTAATATCATTGCACTCATTAATAAAAATTATAAAATATTTTTTTAGACTAAAATTGTATAACAAAAAATTTCGTTGTTTCTTTTTTATTTTTCAAGGCAAAATTCAAACTTTTCCTCTCTTTATCTCTCTCTCTCTCTCTCTTTCACTTTGTGAGAACTTTAAGTGAAATAAGTGCACTTGGTCTATTCTACGCCAAAATAATAAAAAAAAAAATTTCCAACTATAACAGTTTCGTTTTCTCAAAAATCTACATGGCATTGCCAGATCAAAACAGGGCAATGGCAATAACAATAATAATGCCGATTATAATCAAAAACAGTGTAAAGAGATCATCCGTGTTTATGAGACCAAATGTACAAGCAACAACAATGTGCTCCAACAGTGTCAGGCCGTTCACCGCATTGGCACGTTGTTCGCCCAAAATATTCATTTGAGTCTGTTTTTGCAATTGGGTGCTGGTCGAGGGTAGAGCATCATCAGCATCACCGTGACGAGATTGTAGTCTTTGCTCAAAGCTTTGCATATGTTCAGGCGTTGAGACTAGAGTATCATTATCTTCACCAAGGTGTGGTTGCAGTCTTTGCTCACACAATTGGATATTTTCTGGTGTCGAGGATAGAGCATTGCCATCACCATGCTTGGGTTGTAATATTTGTTCAAAGCTTTGCATATGATCTGGCGTCACTTTTTCCCCATTTTCCTCTACATTTTCATTTTCCTCAAAATGGATGCCTTGCTGAGCTTTTTCATAACAATTATGGGCCAAATCTTGTAGGCTTGGAACTTCATGGACAATCAGCTCATAATTTAACTGTGTATCTTCAATTAAAGCTTTTTCGAGATCACAACAATTCTTTACAATCTCCTCAAAGCATTCTTGTGATTCCAAACTCTCTGTGTCATTTTTAATACTTATTTCATAATTGATTTTCTCTTCCATGATGTTCATTTCCAGTTGTGGAGTTTCCATGATAATGCTGCGTTTTCTCTTGGGGGTCTTGGATGGGCTTGTCTCCAACAGGCTTTCCCTGACTGTGTCAGACATGGTGGACACTTCTTCTTCGTCATTGACTACGGAAACAGTTTCACAAAGTGTTTCATTTAAAGCTTCCTGCTCTTCTAAATCAAAATTTTCTTCTCTTTCTAATAATTCATGTTCGAACATCTTATTGGCTTCCTCAAAGTTTTTCCTGGCCTGCAATGCCTTGACTTCGGCCATTATTTCGGCACTAGCCAATTGCACGCGTTCCTCAAACAGATGCATTGCTGCCCTGTGACCAAAAAGCGTATCCTCTCTGACACATTCAAATTCTTCCATCTCTGAATTAGAGCTTTCATATTCTAACTGGGGCTCTCGCAAGCTTTCTAGCAATTCCTCTTCGGTTGGAAGTCGGGGAAATTCCGGTTCTTCATCTTCCTCTTCTGAGACGGAGGGCTCCCTATCCCTAACTACTTCTCTCTCAATTATATCCTCTCGATTATCTTCAGTTTCTTCTTCCTCCCCCTCCTCCTCGTCTTCACCCTCCGTTCTTATGGCAATTTCTGTCTTAAAACAATTTCTAATCTCAAACCTAGAATTGAACGAAGAACTCAATTGCAAACTATTCGAACTAACCGTATGGCCACTCAAGGGAAAATCTGCCAAACTAACATTTCCTGAATCCGGATTGGAAGAGGTCTCCTCCAAGGAACTCAATGAATCACACTGAGTCATTTTGGCATCCTCGGTATTTCTGTCTACCAAAATATTTACACGGCTAGCATAGATTCTATTGAAGTTGGGCGAAAGTTTAAAGTGCCCGACATTCTGTTCGGGAATGGTTTCTAATCTAGACATGGATGATGCACTGGATGCAGCAGATGCTGATGGACTACTGGCATTGGTATTAGTGGTTGATGTTGGTGAGTTTGATGATCGGTTATTTAGGGTTAACAAACAACATTCATTCGGATTAGTTGGATTGGTGGAAGAAGAAGTAGAAGAGCAGCGGCATTCATTAGCGGTACATACAACATGGTCAAGGGGGGATGCAGCAGCAGCATCAGCAGCTGTTAGTGATTCTGGCACACATGGGGTCTCCTTAGGGGAGTTACCTGAGTGTTTTTGTAGTTTCGAAGTGCGTGGCATACGATTGGCGCCCGATTTGTCTTCAATGCCAAATATCATGGCCAGCTCCTCCGAAGAGTTGTACTGCGAGGGCGATGACGAACGGGCCCGCTGCGATGATGAACAGGCCAGCGTGGCACTGCAGTTACTGACCGGTGTCAGATTCAGCGGTGGCGGTGAGGGTGAACAGCTGAAATTGCTGGCCACACTATTGGTGGTGGTTATATTTGGCGTGGCACTCGTTGTCGATTGTACATCGTAGGATGTCGTGCTACAGGACTTAATGCGATCGGTGCTGGGTGCATGGTATTCACTACTGGGTGATTTGATATAATCACTGGACGAATAAGGATTGAATGAGGTAATGCTGGACGAAAAACGGCGACTGGCCGTTGGACTAGATGATTTGGCCAGACAATCACTGGAAGATGAAATGGAGGAGGCAGTGGCACTGCAACCTGCTGGTGGTGGCGGCACCTTTGTCAAAGGGCCATGGGAACTGCTGGCAGCCCTGGTGGTGGCCGAGGCCGTTGTGGTGCTGGTGGTTTTGGCCATCTCTTGCTTGCGTGCCTGATCTTCACATTCTCTCATTATCTGATCAATGTCTTCGATCATCGGCTCTTGTGGCTTGCTGGCCACAAAAGCTTTTGGCGTTTCTGTAAGAGTAGAAGTTGACAAATCATTGGGACTTTGAACTTTATTAGAATTGCTAGCTTCCAAATTACAGGTTGAGGCCACCGATATTTCGGGCTGATTGAGATTGTCATAGTCGTGATTGTCAGCCAGATCGCTTAGCTGGCGCATACAACGTCGGGCAATTGCCTCAATCTTATCCGATTGTATGGGATCCAGTTTTTTGATTAGTGTTGGTATTACCAACGACGAGGTAGTATCCTTTTTGCTTGGATTGACGGCTGGTGATGGTGGTTGTTGCTGCTGGGTTTGCTTGACTTGCACAGCTTCTTGTACTACAACAGGTGGTTCGGTGGTCACAATGTCTTTGAGTATCTTCTCACACACCTTATTGGCGGCCTCGGATACTTGATCGATGGCCTGTATGAGTTTATCTTCTTTGTGCAGTTTCCTTGGAGCCTTCTCGTTGGGCGCCACTTCATCACTATCGGGCAAAGTTTCCAACAATAGTTTGCCACATTTCTTGGCCGCCTGGGAGACCTTTTCGATTTCCTGTAAATCTTGCTCGAATTTGTCGTCGTGGGAATCTTGGCGCTTCGGCTTCGACTGGGTAATCAAGGCCTCCTTGCGCAACTCCTGTAGCTCTTGGCTCAACTTGATGCTACTCTCTTGAGCATCTTGGGCAATTTTGTTGAGTGCCTCTTCCATTTTATTTGTTTCGCCCTGTTGCGGTTCTGGGGTCAGAGATTTCCTTGGCTTTGGTGTGGGTTTCTGGTGCTGGACCACAAGGGTTTTCTTTTCCTCTGCACCAGTACTCAGTTTCTGTGGCAATTGACATATGGCCCCACCCTGACTAGGGTGGCGGAAGGGTATGTGAGACTTCTTCGAACATACTGCCACCGTATTTTGTTCGTTTTCCTGTTCCTTAAGGCTTTGCAATAGTTTCAAAGTGGACGGTATATCATCTGCCTCTTGGCCCTTTTTGTGTAAATCAGACATGCTGCCTGAGCGATCTATGCTCTTTGTTAACTCCATGTACGAATATAAATCTCCACCCGAAGGCTTGGCGGCATCGCGTTGAATGAGAGCATAAATATTGGCCGATTGCGTGCGAGTGGCACGATTTTTCTTTGGCAGCACACTTGAGGGGTATTGAAAACGCTCCTTCGGCTGCAAGGGATCTTTGCGCAAGGCCCTTACAGCCAAATCGTCCTTGATTACATCTGGGGCCTTGGTGTCCTTCTTTAGAAATTCTACCTGGTTGTTGGGCTTGACATGCAAATAATCGGTTTGAGAAGCTGGCACAATGGGTCCTATGGGTATGCCAAAGGGTGGCTGTTTCTCCACGGTCTTGTGTTGCAAATTGGCCAGTTTAATATTGCGATAGGCCACATCGTCCCGTATGGGATCCGGTTCTCCGGTGGGAGAATCATCGTCATCGTCGTACTCATCGGCATGGGCCAGGGCATATTTCTCAAAGTCATTTGGTGTAGGAACACGGTCTTTTTTCGTTATTGGTCCTGGCACCGTTTCCGTGGCCTCTGGCTCAGTTAGCCCCAGGGAGCGATAAATAGCTTCCAATTCATTTATGGCCTCTTCCAAGTTGGCCGGTTTCTTGCGTGGGAAACTAAGTTGCGGTATATTGGGTACGCCCACCAATTTTCTCTGTGGTGGCTGTGGGGCGTTCTGATGCTGTTCCCTGCGTTCATTGACATATTCCTCATACTTGTTGGGTGCAACACTCAATTCACCCGAGCGTCGGTGGTAATGGTCCGGCATTGAATGCGACTTTGGCATATCTTTGTTGCGTATCTCAACATAATTGCTGCTGCTATTGTCCTGGGCTGGTTTGATACGCAAACTGCCGCACACCACACCGTCCACTTCATCCTGACCCTGATGGGGATGAGGTGAGGCAGCCCGCGGCTGAGGTGATGTCTTTGTCTTGTTCGGTTTATATACTTCCGAATACATGGGCATGGGATAGGCTCTCATCTCGCTGAGCCTAGAAGACGAAACGGATCTGGGTTTCATGTTGATGCCAGCAGTGCTATCAACGCTAGACCTCTGCACATCCCTTCCCCTGGGCGCGGGAGTGGGTGTAACCAGATTTTGGCTAGAACCATCCATGCGTTTCCAAAATTCAGTGGCATTGACTTTGGTCGGTGATGTGGGCAGACCACTTTTGGTGGTGCGCAAAATACCCGAAGAAGGAGGCTGTTCTTCGCCCTCATCGCCATAAGGTGCGGTTTTATTGCCCGCCTCCAGCATGTGAATGGGTTTACGGGATCGCGGCGTGGCATCGGCCACATAATGGAAATCCAAACCATTTGGCAATGATTTCTTGCCAGGATGGGCATCTCGATCGGCTCGGGTAATGAAGCGGCGATTTTGAGGCTGCACTCCTGATTGATTGCCCTGATTTGCAGAAATATTCAGGGAACGTATCGACTGATACTGTGGCTGATGTTGGGCCCAGATCTTGTCATCCGAAACACAACGACCACTCAGACCCGAGGCTGGCAGTACGGGTACCCCCGTCTGATCGAAGGCATAAGAAATTGGTCTCAAATCACTGGAGCTGCCCTCCTGTAAGTGGCCACTTCCCACATTCACTCGGCGCAGTGGATCCCTTGGTGGTGGTGGAGGGGGCAATGGCTTAGTTTGCATCCGCCCATTGATATTTTGCAAATGGATGTGACTGTCATAGCTAATGCTACGCTTGGCTTCATTTACCGAATTTTGTAAATTCTTTGAAGGTTGTTGTTGCTGCGCACGCTGTTGCAGCTGCTGGGGGTTCCATTGCACATAGGGTGCCATATGCTGTAGGCTGCTGGTATTACGCAGCTTGGAAATAGAGGCATTATCTACGGATGATCGAAGCTGAGGCTCAGGATGTTGGCGAGCCGTTGATGGTGGTTGATAAATCGATAATGGAACCGGTTGGGTTTTCCACCGCTGCGTGGGTTGTTGGGCAAGCATAACCGGCACCTGGCCATGGCTAACCTCTCCATCGCGTGAGAGTCGCTTGTAGTAACGTTCATTACGCGCAGCCCTGCTCTTACGGCTCATGCCGGAACCATTGTGTCCCTGGCCACCACTGTGAATGCTCTCATCACTGCGATATTTTGAAAACGTGGAAGAGTTCAGGGATATGAGTTCCTCTTCGCTCGATGAGCCTGGCACTACTTGTGGACTATGTCCCGCAGCCATCGCGGCCGAACGTTGCTTTGCACGCGATGCTCGACGATCCAGAGAATGAGCCGATTTACTCAGCAGCTGTTGTTGCGTTTGTGGTGCATGCGACAGGTACTGTTGAGAGTGATGCAAACGCTGGGTTTGATTTTGATAGAATGGCTCCTGAGAGCCCATGGGCGACACCGTTTCCACGGGCAAAAAGAATTCATTGTCTATGTGTCCAATTACCGGAGAGGTAACAGTCGATGATGAGTTGCCTGATATGGGGCTGACAACAATGTGATCGAATCCTCCCGCTCGACTATTACGATTTGCTGCCGAACTATTGGCTGCTGCCTTGGACTTGGATTTTTTATTTGGCGTTGAGGTGGCAGCTGAACTTGAACGCGGATATTTATGGGCTGGCGAAAACCCAGCTTTGCGATCATCTTCCGATGATGACTCGGATTCAATTTCTTTTTTATTTCGACGAAAGAATCGACCGAAGGACCATTTTTTCGAATTGCTGTTGTTGTTGTGACTGGCATTCGACAGCTGTGAGCCATTTAACGAAGGATCCTTTTTACTGCTCATGTGAAAACGATCCATATCGCTTTCAATGATTTGTATTTCGTCAAGATCGTTGACGTCGTATTGTTGTTGCTGGTGTGGATAGAAATTGTTTTGTTTTTGTTGGTGCTGTTGTTGTTGCAATTGTAGTTGTTGGTATGGATGCGACGGTTCTTGTGGAGGTTGCTGTAGTTCACTAATGTTTTCATTTGAAAGTTGTAGTTCTTTTGGCAGAGGCAATTGTGGTCGCCAGGATGATTGGACAGTCTGCAAGGAGGATAGAGAGAAAGAGAGGGAGAGAAAAAAAAATTAGTAATGAGAAATTATGTTGAAGGGGTAATATAAAAAATAAGTAAATAAATTATGTAATGTTTCTCGTATCAGAAAGAGTGCCATTCGGAGCTGCCACTTTTTTGCTGAAGATAGAGGGTGTCATTCTATTACAAGTCCAGGGACGTATAGGACCCACAAAACGGAAGCTATCGATTTAAAATTTTTCCAAAGTATCGATATGTTTTCCAACTAAATTAGGTGTAATTTGTGACGGGGGCCGAAATGGTACATTATTAGATATCCTTAGGACATTTTTCTTGAAAATCCAATTTTTGCCTGTTGGAAAATCAGGGAGCCTTACCGAAATGTAGACCGATATGGCCTATTTTCAATGCTAACCATTCTGGAAAAAAACGAATTTCGAAGTTCGTAGTTTTTGAGACGTTTTGGGAGTGGAGGCAACTTTTGATTTTAGTAGTTTCTGGACTTCCTTCATCTCGTGTTGGGAATCACGAGTTTGGGAAATTAAAGAATACAAACTATTAATATCCGGAGTCGAGTTTGTTTTCTACTCCGACTCCAGCTTCAACAGACTTCGACTCCGATTCTGAGGCTATGGTCTCCATATAAGACTTTAGGGGAGGTACCAGAAGAAATGGTCCGATCTCTACCAGATCTTCTGTTGATGGAAATATTGAGATCTACAAAATCTGAATAAAATCGGGAATTAATTACGCGTTTTTTGAGCTTCGTAATATTCAAAATTTTGACCCATTGTGGGGGAAGTACCAGTAGGATATATTCTGTCTTCGCGCCAGACCTTGGGTTAACAAAAATATTGTGATGTATGTAATTTGAAGAGAACCGGATGCTTATTTAGGATTTTATGATAGTTTTGTTTATTCAAAAACCTTGACCCTTTTATGGGGAAGGTACCAGAAGGAATGGTCGGATCTCTACGATTTTTATAAAAGATCTTGTGTTTATGGAAATATGAAGATGTGCCAAGTTTGAATGAAATCGGAAATTAATTTCGCGTTTTGTGAGCTTCATGAATATTCAAAATTTTGACCCTTTGTGGGGGAGGAGCCAGAAGGAGTAGACCGATATATTCCATCTTCACACCAGATCTTTGATTAATAAAAATATTGTGATATGTGCAATTTGAAGATAATTGGACACTTCCGTCACATTTTATAAAGTTGAAATTATTCAAAATTTTGACCCTTTGTGGGGGAGTGGACCGATATTGCCCATCTCTGAACTCGATGCAAGTTTGACAATAATATTACGATATACCAAGTTTAGACCAAACCAGATACTCCCTTCGAGAGTTATTCTGCGCACCAGCCAGCCAGACAGATGGACGGACAGACATCTCTAGATCGACTCCAAATGTCGTGAAACGGATTTGGTCCGAAGAGACCTAGGGTATAAAGCCATTTTTTCGATGAGGCACGTTTTGCCGGTTCAAATGATACATACCCTCTCTAGCCATATCGTTGAGGGTATAACTAGCCATGTAATACCCCATTAGCCATGTGATACAGTATTAGAAAACCCTCTTAGGTCTAAATCCATTGCGGCCGATTTTGTCTTTGAACTAATGCCAAACACTACTGCAAAATAATACCTTTGGTTTTTCACTAAATTGCCATGGTTCTGTCCTGTCCTAAACTCTCTATTCATGCTAAATTCTGTGTCGATTGGTCCTTCATTGTGACCTGGCCTTCAAAAATAATAGGCTTCCATTCTGGCCCAACCCCATGGTGTAATGGAAATGTTGGTATTTTTATATACAAAAGTTATGATCGATTTCGCCCTCTAAATATTATCAGCTAACCATCAAATTGGTTGGCTTCTGCCCTGACCAATACTCTTAATTTTATGTTCTAGGATATAAAAATAAATGAAAATCGGCATCATCTTCAATGTTGGGAGAGTTCCCATGCCATATTGCCTCAATGCGATATTGCCTCAAATATCACTCACCACATTTTTTTGAAAACAATTGCCTACATTTAAAGCTTTTCTATGGTAAAGGGCCTAAAGTATTCGGTTCGGCCGATTCTTTACTGTTTCTGCCTTTCCTCCACTTATTTTTCGGACATACCATTTTTCTAGGATATAAGTAATGGGGCATGAGATCTTTCAAATATGGGCACCTCAGCTTAATTTTATCTGGTCTGACTAGCGATAACTATTCATCAAAATCCCACCTAGCCTACAACAACCTTGCATTATCGCATTATTATTATTGTTGTTTTATCTCTATGTAATAAATTAAAAAAAAAATATATATCTTGACGCATTATGACCCGCTCGCTTACGCACTTCTTAAGTGGCTAGATAGCAAGGAAAGCTTTCCGAGCTAGCATGTTTATCATTATTATTTAATTAGTTTTGACTTAATTAATTTTAAATGTCAAAACAACATAAACAAACAATTCGGTGAGAGAACCATTTTTAATGGAACGAGAAATGGTTTGTTTTGAAAGCACAGAGAGCGAGAGAGAAGAGAATTCCGTTGAAATTCTCAAGAAAATCAATTAAAGAATTTATTATCGCAAAAATACCTCGATTATCTTTGGTTATCAGTAATGAAAATAAAATAGAAATAATTTGCAAAGTAACTGCAAATACGAAGACAAATCCAATCACTTGAAAAATAGTTTTAGAAAGTAAATTATCCATACTTCAAGCTTTTTTTAATCCATCTAAGAACATTTATTATTAAAAACTAGAAGACCAAAAATGAATGATTAAAATATTTTTATTCAGTGTTCCTTTCAATATATGTGGACACAAATTTGAATTTTAAAACCAGTGAAGAAAGTCTAAAAATCTGGGGAGACGGACTTTATAACTACATCCTTTTGAATAAATAGTAGATACCAACTATGATTATACTTATAATTTAAAGTCTTCTGAAACGATTTATACTAAATTTGACGAGGCATTTGTGCCTTTTCAATTCGGGCTTGTATTACCCATTTGGTGCATAAAAACTCCATCTAAGAACATTTTTATTAAAAACTTGAAGAAAAAAAAAATACATTTTTGAAATACATTTTTATTCAGTGTTTGGACACAAATTTGAATTTTAAAACCAGTAAAGAAAGTCTAAAAGCCTACATACCTTTGCATATCTAGTAGAGCTTCACATTTAAATTATACCAACTATAATTGTTGTTATAATTTAAAGTCCAAAGGAACTAATATATGAGAGGAATATCCTCCTCTGAATCGATTTCTACTTAATTTGCCGAGGCATTTATGCCTTTTCAATTCGGGCGTATATGTTAATGTATTTGGTGTACAATTAACTTGAAATCGGATAAATATATATCAAATTTGAAATGATGTCAATAAAATTTGTCGCAGGTATTTCTGAGCTGAAATTGAATATTTCCCCGAATATCGTTAATGAGTGCATATTACGGCTGTGGAGAACAAACATAAAATCGCATGAAAAATATGTATGGGAGCTATAGATATATCCGAACCTATTTTCACCAAATTTGATATACTTGTTTCTAGGCTCAATTATGTCGTAAGTGCTAAATTTCATCCCATTTGGGCTAATATTACACGTTGGTACACAATAAAAAGCAAATCGGACGAAGATATATGGGAGCTATATCCAAATCTGAACAGATCTTGATAAAATTTGGCAAAGGTATTTCTGAGCTGTTTTTGATATATTTCCCCAAATATCGTTGTTACAGAGTGCATATTGCGGCGGAATACAAAAATAACAAATCGGTTGAACAATATATGGGAGCTGTATCTCGCTTCATTTCCAGCGCACAATGGCCACCAAAATCTCCAGATACCAATTCGTTGGACTATTGTGTCTGGAGTATTTTGGAAAGCAAGGTTGGCACTAAAAAATACCAAAGTGTCGATCACCTTAAGCGCTTCGCCGAGAATGGGCCACAATGCCGCAGAGCAACATTGGGGCAGCGTGTGACGGTTTCATTGGCCGTTTGAAGGTCATAATTCATGCCAAAGGTGACCAATTCGAACAAATCTAAGCTTATTCTAAAATTTGATGGTATTTCCGACATTTTTTTGCTTTCATTCAATAAAAATTAGAAAAAAAATGTAAAAATTATGGCGTTTGACTTTTATGCAGTTTTTTATCTCGCCCTGTATGGGAGCTATATCCAAATCTGTACCGATCTCTATAAAAATTTGCAAAGGTATTTCTGAACTGTATTTCATATATTTCCCCAAATATTGTTGTTACAGAGTGTATATTACGGCTGCGGAGGACAAAAATAACAATTCGGATGAAAAGTATACATGGGAGCTATAGCTATATCTGAACCGATTTCGATCAAATTTGGCATCCTTATTTCCAGACTTAATTAGGTCGTATGTGAAAATTTTGGGCTATTTGGGCTTACACGTTTGGTGCACAATGCAAATTCAAATCGGGCGAAGATATATATGGCAGCTACATCTAAATTTTGACCGATTATCTCCAATTTAAATAGGGTTCGTCTTTGAACCAAACAAATATTTTGTGCAAAATTTCATCTGGATAGGGCAATAAATGCGACCTGTACTGTGTCTACAAAAATACATGGACATGCAGACGGAGGGACAGATGTACATGAATAAATCGACTCAGAATGTGATTCTGTGGTGGTGTAGGGTATAAGGTCTACATAGACCACTATTAAAATTTTTTGTAGGTGATTTGAGGGGATTTCTGTAGAGTTTTGTAAGTTCGGAATAAATTATTATTTTTAATACTTAAGGAGTATCTGTTTTTTTTTTTTAATATACCACCCCAAAATTCTATTAGGTACCCATTCCTAGTTTCGAATTTTACATTATTTTTTTAATTAAATCAAAAAACTCTCTCTCACTCTCTCTCGGGACACTAATTTCTCTCGCTCTGCATGTTTAATGTTTATAATAACGAAGAAATAATTGAAAGCATTGCTCGCCTTGCCTTGGACCCCATGGAAATACTAAACAGAAAAATCTAACAAACTTTGCTTTTCAAGTTCACTCACCACACTCTAACTATTCAACGCTTCTAGTTTTTTATGTAAACAATACCGATTCTATTCTAAAGCAAAAATAAAATAAGAAAAAAAAAAGTAAAAACACATAAGAATAGAGATTTCTTTGTATGATTAACATGAGACATGGGCAGCTGGGGCTGGGTATTGAGATGTTGAAGTTTTTTTTTCGTCTTTTTTGTTTATCAATGTGAATTACCGGAAAAATATTACGCAGCGACAGACACAAGACATATGGTGTATGAAAAGCAAACATACATACGTACATCTATGTGTGAGGCTATTTTTTTTTAATTTTTTTGGTTTGATTTTATTTTTACTTTGGTTTCTTATCATATGAGAACAAAAATTGTTATTTGTTATCAGTCTTTGCAAACTTGTCTTTTATTTATTTTTCTGCAAATAATAACATCGGAGACTTGTTGCCAATATTCTTTTTATTTGAATTTACTATTAAAACATCTATTTTAAGTTTGTTTGTTTGTCGGGTATATTTCAAAGAAGTCATCAAAATGATGACTTTTTATCAATGCCAATTTGATTTAACAGGTGAACTGAAATAAACTGGGCACTTGAAGAGGAAATAAACGAATTCAAAAAAAAAAAAAAAAAAAAAAAAAATGAAACACTGGCACAGAAAGAGAAACTATCATCTTATATTGCTCCAACTTTGCCAATCCTAATATTTGCGTCAGTGCTAGGTCAGGTATGAAAATGGACGATATCGGTCCACTCCATCAAGTACCTCCCCCACAAATGGTCAACATTTTGAATGATTACAACTTAAATAAAATATAGTATAAGAGTCCGATTGTCTTCAAATTTCACACATCCCAATATTTATATTAACCCAAGGTCTTTATTAAGATGGAATATATCGGTCCACTCCTTCTGGTACCGCCCCCACAAAAAGGGTCGAAATTTTCAAAATATATATTTTTTGGACAGAAAGAGAAAGGATAATCCGATTTTGCTCCAACTTTGCAAATGTTAATATTTGCGTCAGTGCTAGGTCAGGTCTTGTACCTCTCCCACAAAAGGTCGAAATTTTGAATATCCATTAAGCTCATAAAACGCGAAATCGGATTCCATTTAGACTTGGCAAATCTGAATATTTCTATCAACATAGGATCTGTTACAAAAAAGCGGTAGACATCGGACCATTCCTCGTGCTACCTCCCCCACAAACGGTCAAAATTTTGAATAACACAAACGTTTATAAAATCCGAAATAAGCATCAGGTACTCTTTATATATCACACATCCCACTAACAAAAGATCCGTTGTGAAGATCGTACCTCTCCCACAAAAGCTCAAAATTTTGTATATCCATGAAGCTAATAAAAAGCGAAATTGACAGCATAAAGGTTTAAACATTTGAATAATCATAACAGAAGTCAAAATATTTTAAAATAATTGAACATTGGCTGAGGGTATACATCTGTCGGCAAAACCGACCGATACTTTTTTACTTGTTTTAGTTAAATTCAAAATTTGAAAACACACTTGGAATAATGGTTTTTCTTCCCCTTTCGTCACATAAAACCAGTAAGGAAAAGTCAAAAATCGGGCGGGGCCGACTTTATGATACCCTACATCTGTATGAATATTTAGTAGATCTCCCGTAACAAAAGAATTAATTTCAAGTAAATCATACCACCTCTCAAAATTTGGATTTAGAGCAGTTATAGTTTGATTTCAGAGCGGACTAATATATGGGAGGCAGATTCAATTCTAAACCGATTTTCACTAAATTTGATGGAGACATTTTAATATTCCCGAAATTCACTCCATTTGGTTTGATATTAGCAATTATTTGCCCGATAAACCTGAAATCGAGTTAAGGATATTTAGGAGCTATATTCAAATCTCAGCCGATAATATTTGTTGTCGAATGGACATTTCTAATTTGAGGGACTTAAACACCAAATCGGATAAAACATATAAATGGGAGTTAAAGCTATATGTGAACCGAATTTGACGTACTTGCTTCTAGACTGAATTCGGCTGACTGTGCCAAAATTCAGGACTTTTTGACAGATATTGGCCATTTAGTGCAACATTAACCCGAAATAGGTTGAAGATATATCTATGGGAGCCATATCCAAATTTGAACCGATCTCGATAAAATTTGGCAGAGATATTTTTGGGCTGTATCTGATACCAAATATCATTGTTGTGATCATCGGACAGACGGACGGACGGACATGCATAAATCGACTCAGAATGTGATTCTATGCAGATCATCAAAAGGAACTATGGGTCTATCTCGTTTCCTTCTGCCTGTTACAAACAAATGCACAAAGACATAATACCCTGACCACCTTGTGGTGTAGGGTATAAATAGACTCAAGTGGTGGTAGGAAATATGGGAAACGGCCGAATTTGCTTTTCTCCGATGAGAAAACTTTCTTTGTCCAGTAGTTTGTAAACAAACAAAACGATTGTGTTTACTTGCCAAAGAAGTCAGTTGAGAATGTGCACCTTGGGTTGGCCACCAGAACTTAAGCGCCAGCCACGGTGATGGTGTGGGCCGCCATAACTGCCGATGGTCTCTCGCTCTCCGCTCGTATTAATCGACCGTGGCATCAGAATAAATGGCGAATATTATTGCGAAAATATTCTGGAGGTTGTATTAAAGTCTTGGGCACTCAAGCATTTTGGCCGCAGACCTTGGACATTTCAACAGGATTTAGCATAATCGCACTTAGCACGCGCCACCGAAGAATGGTTACAAAATGAGGTCCCTCCCTTCATTTCCAGCGCACAATGGCCACCAAAATCTCCGGATACCCATCCGTTGGACTATTATGTCTGGAGTATTTTGGAAAGCAAGGTTGGCACTAAAAATACCAAAGTGTCGATCTCCTCATGCAAGCGCTTCGCCGGGAATGGTCCAAAATATCGCAGAGCAACATTCAAGCAGCGTGTGGCGGTTTCATTGGCCGTTTGAAGGCCATAGTTCGTGCCAAAGGTGACCAATTCGAACAAATCTAAACTTATTCTAAAATTTGATGCCGTATCCGACATTTTTTGCTTTCATTCAAAAAAATTTTACAAAAAAAAAATTTTAAATTATGGCGTTTGACTTTGTTGCAGTTTTTTTTTTATCTCACCCTGTATATTATCCAATCTGAAAAGCTTCCTCTTTGTCTAAAGCTCTATTCTCTGTACCATGAAACTTCGGCACTGTGATTGTCATTACAATCTAAAGTCCAAATTTTGTGAGGTTCTCGTCGGGATGTAAAATCTGCACTTTCTTTTTCGTTTTCCTCTAAAGGCCATAATTTCTTTTTCGATGTTATAACACAAAAATTTCGACCATCTTCGACCAATAAATATTTGGAATTTTCACATTTACACCTGTTTTCAAACATATTTATTGGCATAATGCGCCATAAAAGATTTATGTTTGGTCTATGCCTGCTCTATCATTTTGGGGCTTATAATACATCTACATATTTTGATGGCATATAAGTTTTTTCTTTGTATTGCAAAAGCTGACCTACTCTGTGGCCCTTGGGGTTGCCGGCATGTTGATATGTTTCATGGAAAGAATGGCGTGCCTTTCTCCCTCCCTTCCTCCTCGGCAATGTGCCACCAAGTATGCCTGGTGGAATATTTTCTTATATTATTTTTTAGTTGGCCAAGTTTTCTTTATGGCCAACGACAAAGTAAATGGTTTTTATGTTTCAACTACCCCCGGGTGAATGGATGGTTGTGTGTTGTGTGTCATTGGTCTGTTGGTTGGTCGATCATCATAAAATAGAGCAGGTTAAGTTATACGCACACACACACAAATATTAAAAATATTGAAGTACATCAATATACACTCAAAACCGTTTACAACATTGAAAATATTCACATACATTGACCATATTTAGATGTGAGCAATTACAACCAAAATAATACAACATTAAAAGCATTGCTTCTTTTCGTGTTTAAATAAAAATTTGAAATGATTTTTTTTTCATTATTTTTGTTAATAATAATTTATGTAATGAGAAAAAATATATGAAATATTTCTTTTTTTCTGCTAAATTAATATGTGGGAGAGGATGATGATGATGGGGTTTATTTCTTGTAGTTATGTAGTTATTATTATGCAACACATACACTTTTTGCAATATATTTTTTGTTAGGATAGGGGCTACTATCGGCATTGCTGATATCGGTGATGTTGGTCGAATTGTTACTGCTAATCTTGCTGCCATTGCTGCTGTTGTTGTTGTAGCTGTTTTCAGTAATGATGCTATTGCCAATGTTGTTGTTGCTGTTGTTACTGTTGGCACTGTTCAAATGATTATGACCGCAACGTATAAAAATAAAGCCCTCATTACTCAGTGACGTTGCCGATTTGGTATTTGAATGATGATTCGACGAATGATTGTGATGACGTTTTAGGGGAAATTTAAACATAGTGTGTGGATTTTGTTTTGGGTTTTCTTCGTATGCTATGTTTTTGTTTTGCTGTTGGCTTTATTTATATCTAACTAAAATTAATCACTACAAAACATAAAAAACAAAAATATATTGATTTAAAAAAAAAAAAAATAGAATAGTAGAGAAATGAACGATGAAAAATAAAGTACAAGAAATAATAGGAAAATTAAAAATGAATATTCTTAAGAAGTCAAAGAAGTCCCGTTGTTTGTTTTTAACCCTTGAAGGAGAACAAAAAAAAACTAAACTTTATATTAACAAGTTAAAAAGTCGGTTTTGCCGACTAATATAAAAATATATATTTGGACTTCTGTTATTATTATTCAAATGGTTGACCCTCTATGGAGTAGGTTCCGAAGGAATGGGCCAATATTGTATATTTTGTATCGGACCAACATAAATATATTATAAATATTGAGACATGCCAGGTTTGGACTATATCGACTACTTACTTAACTTCATATGAGATAAGTGATAATTTGTAGAAAATACTTAATTGTGCGTGGGGTACCAGTTATAGTCGACCGAATACTTCATCTAATACAAAGAAAACCAGTAAAGAAAGTCTTAAAGTCGGGCGGGGCCGACTTTGTGATACCCTACACCACTTTGCTAATTTATTAGAGCTCCGCATAACAATTAAACGTTTTAATGGGAGAATTCAATATACACGCTATAATTATAATCATAATTATATAATATTATAATTTGGTGCACAATAAAAAGCAAATGGGACGAAGATATATCTGGGAGCTATATCTAAATTTTGACCGATTATCTCCAATTTCAATAGGGTTCGTCCTTGGGCCAAACAAATGATTTGTGCAAAATTTCATCTGGATAGGGCAATAAATGCGAACTGTACTTAGCTTACAAAAATCGACTCAGAATGTGATTCTAAGCAGATCATCAAAAGGAACTATGGGTCTATCTCGTTTCCTTATGCCTGTTACAATCAAATGCACAAAGACATAATACCCTGACCACCTTGTGGTGTAGGGTATAAAAATATTGGTATGGGCAAAAATTACAAGAAAATCTAACATTTGTTTCCAATTTTTTGCGAAATCTTAAATTCCACATTCATCTCAGGTTTCTGGTTGAGAGAAATATTTGGATATAGCAAGTTGTACAGAATCGCTTACAGGTTTCGCAAGTTATGACAGATATGACAGCATTAAAGATTGTGACCCTTTTTGGGTGAGGTACCAGAAGGGGTTCGCAAATATATATTTCATCTTCACAAAAGAGTTTGAAGTGAGTTGGATGCTTATTTCGAGTTCTTTGAGCGTTTTGTTTTTTTTTAAATCTTGAACCCTATGTGGGAGAGGTACCAGAAGAAATGGTATCCAACCATCTTAACAACCGAAATTGTGTTGATAGAAATATTGAGATGCACCATGTCTGAATGGAATTGGATGTTAATTTCTCGTTTAATGAGCTTCATAGATATTCAAAATTTAGAGCCCTTGTGGGGGAATAATGGGATGTGCGAAAAATGAAGAGAACCGGACGCTTATTTTGGATTTTATAATCGTTTTGGTTATTCAAAACTTTGACCCTTTGTGGAGGAGGTACCAGAAGGAAAGGTCCTATCTCTATTATCTTAAAAACAGATCTTGTTTTAAAGATATATTGAGATGCACCAAGTCTGAATGGAATCGGATGTTAATTTCGCGTTTTATGAGCTTCATGGGTATTCAAAATGTTGACTCTTTGTGGGGGAGGTACCAGAAAGAGTGGACCGATATATACCATCTTCACACCAGGCCTTGGGTTGATAAAAATATTGTGATGCGTGGAAATTAGACTCTTACATCACATTTTATAAGAGTTATAATTTTTCAAAATTTTGACACTTTGTGGGGGAGGTACTTGATGGAGTGGACCGATATTGTCCGTTTTCGCACCTGACCAAGCACTGAGGCAAATATAATGATTTGCAAAGTTGGAGCAAAATCGAATTATACATTATCTTTCTGTGCAGCAAAAAAATCCATCTTTTGTGGAGGAGGTAGCAGAAGGAGTAGACCGATTTTGCCCATCTCTGACTCGAACTAAGTTTGACAGAAATATTGCGATCTACCAAGTTTGGACCACATGGGATACTTCCTTCGAGAATTATCGTGGACACCAGTCAGTCAGACAGACGGACGGACAGACGGACATCGCTAGATTGACCCCAGCCGTATCCGTATCAAGTGATTTATGCCCTGTGTAACTATATGACTCAGGGTATAAAAAACATCACCGTGTCTAATTCTCACTGGGTCAAGTTCATCGATTTCTATGTCATCACATGTTGTCTCCATACAGCCTAAAGTATTGCCCTACATTTTGTGGACAAGGACACATCTTGTTTGACAAGAGATTGATATGTTTGACATTTACAAGTCATAAAAGGCATATTTCAATTAGGAAATTTTCACATTGTTGACAAATTAGTGGTCTATTTATAGAAAATACTAAACAAAACACCATGTCAAGGTGCTGAAAATTTATGAGAGGATTAACCTGAACCTAAACGAGGGTGGGGGCATCTGATATTTGAAAAAAAAAAAATTTTTCATTTATTTTGAAGAATAATATGTGGTATGTTACAGTGGTTTCCAGCATGTATTTTTGGGAAATACATGACACAGTTTCTCACGAGTCAAATAAGATATTGAATGTGAAATTTGCAATTTTCAGCATTTACCTTTGGGAAATATATTACTCATATCTCAGATGCGAAAAAAATGAATTATTACATTTTCAACAACATTTAACGCCCAGTTCACATTTTTCAATGAATTTCTTCCATATTAAGCTGATTTAAGTAGTTCTGATTTTCTATTTTTTTATCTGAAACTTTTCTTTAATTTTAATTCCTCTTTTCGTCTGCTGTGTTTGCCATTCAAGGGTTAAAAGAAATTTGCCGGAAAAATAATAAAACAGCAAAGCAAAGGCTCACATAGATTGCTCACATCACAGAATATAAACTATGAAATATTAGGCAAATTGCCAAAAAATTATTTCTTGTACTTTAAACAAAATAGATAAATTTAAAAGAAGTAGAAAAAGAAGAAGGGATAGGAGGTATGAATACAGCATTAGGTTTTACAAGAATACAATAACAAAATAAATTAAAACACAAAATATACAAAACATTAAAAATTGCAACACTTTTTCCGCATAAGGAGGAGATTTGTCTTCGGTGACAAATATTCAGTTTCTATTTTAAGAAAATAGAAAAAAAAAACATCAGCACATTTAAAGCGTATTTGAAATTTTGTTACACATTTATTCGTTTTTTAGTTTAGTTTTTTATTATTTTTTTACTAAATCCGTAAAAGAATCTCTATTTACAAAATATTTTCTTTTTATGTTTTTCTTTAATTTTTTGTTTTTGGATTTTCTTTTGAAATGCTAAAAAGCCAGCGCACTAAAACAAACATTTCATGTCAGGTATTTTAAGCTGAGCAGCAACAACAAAAAATAAATCACCATAAAAAATATTTAAAAATAAAACACTTTATTTTGTCGTTCGTCGGTGTAGCAGCAATAAACGTTGTCGTCGTCTTCGCCAAATTCCTCACCAGGAATTTTCTATCTTATTTTGGTGTTCCATATAATAAACAATTAAACTTTTAAAAATAGAAATTCACGCCGCGCTTATTTTCCACGTTCGCTATTTACGAGGAGCTAAAAAAACGTTTTTTTGCTTCTTAAATTAATCGTTGGACGATATTTATCACATTTGCAAGTTGTATTTTTTATTTTATTTTTATTTTTGGTATTTATTTGTCAATCGAAGTGAAAAATATATGTTGGAGTAGCTGTCAGTTGTGTGGTAGTGGCAACAAGAAGCAGCAACATTGGCGGCGATCGTTTCGAACTAAACAACTAAACGGATGAAAATCGTAAAAATAACTAAAATAAAAACAAAACTCAAACAACAGCGAAATGATCGACAACACTAAATAAAAAGCCAAGAGAGATAGAGAGAGCAAGGAAACTATCGACAGAGAGATCAGCATATCTGCGTAACTGAGGTCTTTTTTCACGCAAAGACTAAATGGTGCTGAACATATCCACCCGTCAGTTTGGGAGAACCCCCGCCAAAAACAAATGCTAGCAAAAAAAGAAATAATCAAAACATTAGCCACACATCAGCCCAACACCACCAACAGCAATAATAACAACAAATTTAAGTAAAATGTATCTCAGTGTTTGGGGATTTACTTCTCACCAACAACCCCCCACACTCAGAGACAGACAGATCATTAAAAACAAAACTAAACAATGAGAGTGGGAGAGAGTAAAGTAAATGTATCTCAAGTGCTTAGTCCACTTGATGCGCGCGCATTTGGTGATCTTTTGAAGATTGTTGATGGTAGTGTTGCTAACTCACATAAGGTAAAAAAAATCACTAGATCTTTTTGTTGATGAATCATCACAACGACTCAACAAAAATTTGGAGCAAACATAAGCCGAGGTAATGTTAACTAAGTATCGTTTTTTTACGATAAGCCTTATCGTGGAAATGCGTAATAAAAGTGTACGAAAAGTCTAAAATGTACTCAAAATTGATTAATTTTTATGGGGCATACGGAAAGAGCTAGAATTTTGAAATTTGGAATGAGAGTCACTAAGGGAGTGCAGGATAGATGTCCCAAAGAGTTTTTGGAAATTAAAACTTTAGGCCTACGAAAAGTTCTTAAATGGTACTAAACTTCTAAAATTGAACGGATAGAGCTAATTGTATGAGAATCAAGGATGGAAAGCAAGTTTGATAAATGAAGGTGGTTTTGGTAATGTGTAATATGTATGCGAATGGCGCTAAATTTGGAAGAGTTTAGTGTGAACGGATGAAACAGGAATTTTGAAAATTTGTATTGGGATCCCTGTTGGTAGTAGGTTTTTAATAAAGAAGTGGTTTTGGTAATGTGTACTACGAAATGTACTAAATTGTACTACATTTGGTACAATTTGGTATTGGGTTAACAGATAGTGCTTGGCATCTGAAATTGGTATTAGAGTAGCTTTTCTTGTGTAGCGTGGCCAAATGGAGTTAGTTTCGGTAAGGTGTACTACAATTGTACGAAAAGTACTAAATAGTACTACATTTGAATTTTAATATTGAGGTCGCTGTTGGAATCTGGAATTGAGATATGGATGTGTTTTTGAAATGTGTACTAGAATTGTTCCAAAAGTACTCAGAGGCACTAAATTGTGTATTTGGAGAAGGGATAGAGCCTGGAATCCCGAAATTTGATATTGAGGTCTCTGTTGATATCTGCAATTGAGATATTGATGTGTTTTTTAATGTGTACTAGAATTGTTCCAAAAGTACTAAGAGGCACTAAATTGTGTATTTGGAGAAGGGATAGAGCCTGGAATCCCAAAATTTGATATGGAGGTCTCTGTTGATATCTGGAAGTGAGATTATAAATGAACGCAAAGCACTGAATGGTACTATATTTGGTATTGGGTAAAGGAATAGAGATACGATTCTGATATCTGGTATTGAGATCACTTATGGTATCGGGAATTTAGATATGAAGAAGGTTTTGGAAGTGTGTACTATACCAAAAGTACTAAATTTGGTATTGGGTGAAGAAATAGAACTGAAATTTGATATTGAGGTCACTTTTGGATTGTACGGTTTACATTTGGAGAGGTTGATATATTTTGGGCACAAAAATTGGATGTGAGTCCTCCTCGGTAAACTTTAAAATCAAAGATTTTGACGACTTTTTTTTGTAAAAGGTAAACATTTGCTCATTATTCTTTCGAAAAATGAAAAACTCGAATAATATATAGAACCTAATAAGTCTGAAAACTTAGTTCGAAATATGAAGTTTTGATAAAAAAAAAAGTCAAAGTGAATAAATTGTGCACTTTGAGTACCTTACGCGAACTTTTGGAACCAATCTAAAATTTTAAGGTATGTTTTTCGCTGACGAAGTAGCGGGCACTTGCTAGTTTATATTTTGGAATTATAGCTACATATGAACCGATTTCCATCAAATTTCATGAACTGTGTTTTAAGCTGATTTCGGTCTTGGTATGAAATTACACATTAAGTGTGCGATAAAAGTGGAGTTTGGTCAAGATATCTAAATCTGAAAGGATAACAACTCACTCGAATTTAGCAAGAGCACTTCTGGGAGTGGAAAAAATCCAGCAAACTATATTTTTCGACACCGCTCGAAAAATATTATTTTTCATGAAATCCAGTCAACACAGCTTCATCCCCTTTAAATCTACTTTTAATATTGTGATTATCTAATAACTTACAAGATTCCCAGTACTAGAAGTGCAAGAAAAAAAAACGCCAAAATAGCATCACTCTTTCCAAGTGGTAGTTCAAAGCGGTAAACAGCAGACTGCCCTATGTAACGAATCAATAACAATTGAAATTGTTTTCACATTCATTCATACATATTTTAAAATAAATGTCATTGTAATTGAATTATTGAATTACAATTTTTCGGTCATTAATTTTTATTTTATCAATAAAAAGAAACAATTTTAAGATAAAATTGATATACATTTCATAGTTTACAAGAGTAGAAAAAAAATGAAAGTTGTGGTGTTTAGAGACCCTACATGATTTTTATAAAAAAAAAAACAACGAGCACCAAATGAAAAACAATTCAAGAGAACAAATAAAAAACACTTTCTTCTTTTCATACAATTCTAAGTATTTTTAGGCACATAGGTGTTTTGTTTAAAAAAAAAACAACACTACTGGTTGAATGAACTTTAATAAGACACGCATGAACACCCACAGATTTACAAGTGCGGTTAAACTACACTACACTTGACGATATTTGATGATAATTAAATAAAAACGATTTTTAATTACATCCAAATTGGTGATAAGTATAAGCCAATTGAGAGCTTTATTACGGTTGGAAACTTCTTTATGGAGACATGATCATTAAAACGTTACTTATGAATAAATGCGATATTAATAAATTATAAAAATATGACTCAAAAGCTAACACATTATTAGTTGGTCCCATTAAATTCGCAAACCAAAAAAAAACTGTTATTTGGTAAATCTGATCCTTAAGCTTTTACTGAATAGGAATTTGTAAGAAAAAAGTCCACCTTAAAATTGTATATTTGTTCCACCAGTTCATTTAAGTATTCAAAATGCACAATTTATGTACCCTACACATGATGGTAAGGGTGTTATGTCTTTGTGCATTTGTTTGTAACATGAAGAATGAAAACCCATACTTACTTTTGAGGATCTTTATAGAATTACTTTCTGAGTCGATTTATGCATGTCAGACCGCCTGTCGGTGCCCATGTATTTTTGTGAACAAAATGCAAGTCGCATTTATTATCCGATTGAGATGAAATTTTCCAAATAATATTTGTTTGGAAAATTTAGATATAGTTCCCATATATATCTTCAACCGATTTCGAGTAAATTGTGCACCAAATGATCAATATCTGTCAAAAAGTCTTGAATTTTTGTAAATCCGACCGAATTTAGTGCATCAAATATGGTGAAAATCGATTCCGATATAGCTATAGCTCCTATATATATATATATATATATATATATATATATATATATATATATATATATATATATATATATATATATATATATATATATATATATATATATATATATATATATATATATATATATATATATATATATTTCATCCGGTGTGGGGTATATCTTTATCCGATTTCAGGTTTTTCGTGCACATCCGACCGAATTTAGTCTATATATATATATATATATATATATATATATATATATATATTTCATCCGGTGTGGGGTATATCTTTATCCGATTTCAGGTTTTTCGTGCACATCCGACCGAATTTAGTCTAGAAGTGAGTACATTAAATTTGGAGAAAATCAGTTCAGATATAGGTATATCACACATATATATGTTTCACCCGATTCGGTGGTAAAGTCCCTCGCATGCGTAATATGCACTCCACAACAATGATATCTGATACCGGACATCAGATTCAACTCGAAAATACCTCTGCCAAATTTTATTAAGATCGGTTGAGATTTTTATATAGCTTCGATCTTCATCCGGTTTTACGGTTATCGCTCACCAAAATTGAATAGATTTTTTTCATATTCAACCGAATTTTACCATTTGTTGAAACTCCGTCCGGTATACCTATTGCTCCAATAAATATTCTTTAATATACTCCAGTCATATCATGTACTATACAGCAATGATGTTTGGTTCATACGCATAGAGGTGTATAGCCGGCCTCGCCCGACTTTAAACCTTTTCTTTTTGCACCAACAAGTCTTCAAATTCCAAAAAAACCTTCATATCTGAATTCCAGATACCCACAGAGACCTCAATATCTAATTTGAGCATTCATTTTTGCATTTTCAAAACAATTTCCATATGGCAACCTCACATATAAACAGTGATCTTAATATCAAATTTCAGTATTAGAGCTCTGAAACTTCCTCCATTACCAAATTTAATTCTACAAAGTGCAAATAAAGTACGCATATCCGAAACCAATTCCTTCTCCCAACCATAGACACCAACAGTGACATATGCATCAAATTTCAGGATTTCAGCTCTATTCCTTCACCTAATACCAAATTTAGTACCTTTCATAAAATTATAGTACACATTTCCAATACCACCTCCATATCTCAATTCCAGACACCAACAGATACCTCAATATGAAATGTGAGCATGTGAAGGCCCTCTATGTTTACCTAATACTAAATTAAGTACAACTCGAAAGGGCAAATTATTAAAATAAGTACCATCTAGTACTATTTGCACAAATATAGGACGCATTTTCAATCCACAGCCAAATCTCAAAGACATACACCACCATATCAATTTTGATAATTTTATCTCTGTTTCTTCACCCAATACCATTTAGTACTTCTCGTACAATTCTCGTATAAT